TTAGACTGAATGTCGCATAGCCGACAATTTGTTTTGGTTTTATTTCATTTTATTTATTATATCAAAATTATATTTTTTGTAAAATAAATTTCAGTAATATCCACAAACATTACATTCACAACGCCACAATTTAGTTTAACTAATTTTAATTTGATAGGGGATATTCTATTGTGACAATCTACATCACACACACACACATACATACTTACACTAATACAAATCACATACAACGCCAAGCATTCATTGGTTAATAAATCAGCACTACGTTTTTATAGACAATTTACAAATCGCAGCAATGCGAAAATTTTGTAATCGCTCTATTTTCATGGAGTCAATTTTGGGAGAAACGGATACCAGAAGCTTTCTCGAGTCTCCCCAAAACTCACTCACTGATTGGTCAATGCCAACCAATCAGATTGTCTGCACGTGAAGAACAATTTTTCCCGCGCAGCGATTCGGAGCCGATGATCACCTATTCTTAGATAATTAGTGAGATTTCAGCTGCCAAACGAATCCACGACAGTTGAAACCATGCGGCAATCTTCTCACTCACACCACCACTCACATGCTGAATATTCCTTGCACTCACGTAATGTTTTTCTTACACAGCAAAACTGTTGAAAGCATTTATTTCCAGAAACTAACACAAACTTCCTTTCTTTCAGTGAACTTTGGAATACAATAATAGTTAAAGAGAGACAACTCATGTTTTACTCAATGTATGCCTTCTTTCATATCCTTGTTTGTACATCTTGTTTAATACATATTTTATGTGTAATGATGTTTTATCCTTTTTTTCACCTCAGTTTGGTTTCCTAATCTCAAGTTAAATAAATGTGGTGAAGTCCGCCATATTAATATATGCCATCACAATGTGAGCGATAAGTAGTCATCACAACTTCAAGTCCTTTATATGAGTAAACATTGTTTTTATAATTACTCCTCTCTTTGTCTTTGGTCTGCTATTTACAAAAATTCTTCGGATGTCACTGAAAAAAATCACGAATTTATTTCATTTATCACACAGATTGACAGGTACATGAAGAAGGGCGGGAAACAACGTAGAATTTTTCAGCAACCGTTCGACAACAGCCTCGGGGTAGAATCTCTGACTCACGCCAAATCGGTCCGGTTTCGATCCCGGTTGGAAGCTATCGGAAGTCAAGGCACACTGAAAAGCTGTGATACAGCGAAACAGTTTGTCTGTGATATCGATTCGATTTCTCTCAGCCACTGTGTTTATCTAAAAATAAATACGCTTAAATTCACTTTCATCCCTGCCGTGCGCCAACGGCCTAGTGATAGAATCCCCGACTGATGCCAATTCAGTCGTGGATTTGATGCTAGCTAGAGGCAACCAGACGTCTATCCACACTGATGAGCTGTAATACAGCGAAACAGCCTGTCTGTGGATGCCAATATATATATATATATATATATATATATATATATATATATATATATATATAAAACCCAATCATAAGATAGAAAGACCCTTTATGAAGTCGTCAGAAAACAAAATTGTAGTTCAGTCCGACGCGTTTATGTACGAAAAAATTATTATTTAGAAAAATAAAATAAAATAAAATTCTTTAGACACTTAACGACGATGGTGCCAACAGCTATCTGTCGCTGTGACTGACCAGACGATGTGCGTACAAGAATGCCATCATTCGCTTTGAAATGGACACCCCGGCCTTCTTTCTTTCTTTTCACCTCTTTCCGAAGGTGACTGATATGCGGATAACAATTAACTCTTAGTCCCCTTACCAAAATGGTCACCCCAGCCGTTTCCATAGTAATGAATTTTGCGAATGAACATGCTTATAAAGATCCGTGAATTTCAAGATTGGTTATTCTTAAATTTCGTGTTTAGAAAAAAAAAATAGAAATTATAACAAAACGCGTTCACGCGTGCTGTTACAATTCACTATAACGACGATTGTCTTTTTAATTTAGCACTGGGGCTAATCTTAGAATAACTCTAATGTACTTGGGTACGTAAAAACTACGTCGCCACCCTTGATGAATTTCAGCTTTACATCAATAAACTTGTTAGAGAACTACAAAGGATTATTATAAAAATATACACAACGTGTCTATATTATTCAACGAAACGTTTGGTTTAGTTTGTTTTACAGCATATCAACCTCAATGGGTTGTTTAATACCGAAAAGACTTTTATTGCTGATAATATTTTTTTTCCATCAAAAATGTATTACTGTTAATATTTTTGTCTTAAAATTATTGCTGGTAATAATATTTTTTTCAAAATTTTATTGTCGGTAATAATTTTTACAAAAATGTAAAACCTATTTTTTACACTTTCATATTGTTTTTAACTCAGTTTGCCGGTTAGCTATTTGCACATAGCTGGGTCAGCGGGAATCTGTGAACACTAGCAATTAAGAGTTAGTTCCACTCTCCTCAAAACCTCCTGATCAGAGTTCTGAAACATGTTTGAGTGAAAACATGCTGCATATATATATATATATATATATATATATATATATATATATATATATATATATATATTTATATTTAGTTGAAAAAACTTGGTAATCCGTATGGGTTGGAAGTGCTATCTGATGATCAAGCGTCCTTTAAAAAGGGCTCTGGTGAAATGAATTATTATAATGGTACCTTAAAAGTGGTCTGTTTTTTCTTTTTATATATATATATATATATATATATATATATATATATATATATATATATATATATGGTTATACATTCTTTTAATAGATACAAATATTTAAGTAAATACTCTGTTTATAATAAACAGTATTAATAACATTTATTGGCCTGAATGTTTCATAGAAAATATTCGTCCTCCGACAGGAATCGAACCTGTATCCTATACGAAACTGTCATATAGCCTGCCGTGCCTTATTATAAACAGAGCATTATCTATAAAAAGAATGTTTAAACATAAAAATGACTTTTCGGTCTTTGTCCATTTCATAATGTGTGACGTCATTTGTTTACATTTGGATACGCATCGAGCAGATATGAATGTACGTGAGAGATTTATGGAAGATTGGAGTTTAAAATCAGTAAAATCGACTTTAAAAATCGGATAAAAAGAACATTCGGACAGTTTTTATATAATTTATCATTCGAAAAGAAAAGAATTATTAGATCGCATGAAAAATTGTATAAAAAACTAAATCAAAGCACCGTGTCTGTCGTTTCCAATGAAATGTGCATGAAAGAAGGATTGCTGCCTAAATACACAAATATATATATATATATATATATATATATATATGTGTGTGTGTGTGTGTGTTTGTGTGTGTGCGTGTGTGTGTTTGCGTGTGTGCGTGTGTGTGTGTGCGTGTGTGTATGTGTGCATGTGTGTGTGTGTGTGTGCGTGTGTGTGTAATTGACATGAATCCATACAGTCAGTTCTTCGGGTCGGCATAAAAGATGAAGCAGTGTACAAAGAAAATGTGTTGAGGATAAGAGGGACAATAAATTTAATTACCTTATCAGATCCGACTGTGTTTTTATGATTATACCTGTATATCATATGCTACATGTTTTCGGACACACATTCTACATACGCACGTATATATATATATATATATATATATATATATATATATATATATATATATATATATAAATAAAAGTGACATTGAAGTCAACACTTAGAGGCGACAGGCTGTTTTCATGCTAGACGCGACAAGCTGTTTCATGCTAGACGTGTCAGACTGCTTCATGTTAGACGAAATGAAACAGCCTGTCGCTTCTAAGTGTTGACTTCAATGCTCACTTTTATATTTAGACGCTCTATCTCTTATATTGAGCACTTTATCCCATAAATATAGCACACCTTAAAAGTATATATATATATAAAAAATTAAGTAATGAAAATCTTGGTAATCCGTATGGATAATCCCAAGGAGGATGAAATTCGGAGAGCTCAGTGTTAAATCAGAGCGATTTAGTTAATTTAATTCAATGAAAACACACAACTTTAAGGGTCCATTGGTTATAATTTATTTCCCCAGGGAATTTCTTTTTTTCCCTGGATCATCAGGCCAAACTTCCAGGGGTGAAAAAATGAATTTAAATTTACATATATCTTTTTACGCTTTTGAGGGTTAGTTTTAAGTTGATATTAGGTGATATAGAGAGTGGTGAGAGAAAGTGTGACAGGAAGTTATCTGTTTTCATTAAATTAAATTAAATCATATTATTATATAAGACATAGTATTAAAGACAACAGCCATTTTGCTTCGATTAATTTTATTGATCGACTTTTCCAAATTACGAATCCTTCACAGATATCTAGACGTTCTAAAGTAATCATCAAAGTCGATAAAAACAAATCGTGAGTTTCGTAGAACTGGTGAGTGTAGTGACGTGAG